AACCTCATAAGGTTCCCTCACTTACAGGGGAGATGGCAGTAATGAAGCGTCAAAATGCCTAGACAGTGAAGGAAACCATTTAGCAAACCTAACCAGTCTAGAGTTCATTATTAAGCCTTTTTCATTCAATGACAGTGACAAAAAAAATCTTACTTTTCCACCATTTCTGTATCTGCACAAAACTATCCAGCTGAGCTGTTCCATGTGATGAAAAACCTATTACAACTTGGCCCTCAGAATGAAGTCAACCACTTCTGCACTTAATCCTTGTCCATCTCGCCTTGTGAAATTAATATGGTCAGACTTGCGTATTTGGCTCTGTGAAATAATGAATGCTTCCTTTAAAGGAGGAATATAACTAGAATATTAAAGGTGGTTCAGTCTTTGTTCAGAAGAAAAAAAATACCCGATTCTTCAGACCTAACTAACCTGTGTCAAATATAACTTTCAGGGGAAATTGCCTTTCTATTCTAACTTCTGGCCAGGTTAGGAGACAGGAACTGCCTTGATCATATAAAAGGATGATATACAGAGAGAGTGCAACCCTGGTCATTCCACATTTGATAGCACTGAGCATGATATCCTTCTATGCCATTTTGAAAGGATGTGCCTGGCAGTGATGTACTGATCTGGTTCCTAATTGAGAGGTTTCAGAAGATAGTGCTCCATGATCACTGCTTCTCCCCTTGACTTCTGGTCTGGGAGATTCTGCAAGATGCATTCTAGATCACCACGTTGTTCAGCATCTACATGAAACACTAAGTGGGATAATCCAGGAATATGGGCTGTGCAGTCATCGCTGCATCAATGATACCCATTTCTCTCTCTCTTTTTTGCCTAATCCTAAGAAGGCAATAAAGTACTGAGCCGCTCTGTGACATCCATGAGGGGCTGGGATAGTGAGGAGAGACATGACAGAGGCATACGAAATTACTGATGATGCGGAGACAGGATACCATAACCCAGGGGTTTTCGCATGAAGCTGATTGATGGGTGATTCAGGACAAATAAAAGGAAGTTGTTCTTCAACAATGCATAGTTAAAACTAAGGGATTCACTGCCACCAGATGTTGCATGCCACCAATCTAGATGGCTTTTAAAAGGGATTGGACCAATTCAGGGAGGAGAAGTCAATCAATAACAAATAGACCTGATGGATATTTGTTGCTTTCAGTATCAGAAGCAGCAAGTCTATATATGCCAGTTGTTGGGGAACATGGGCAGAAGAATAATGTTGCACTCATATCATGCTTGTGGATTTCCTATGGGTAGCTGGTTGGCCACTGCTGGAACAGAATGTTTTTCATGTAAAAACTTGGCTCTTTAAGAAGGTGTTTGGCTAAAAGTTTTAATACCTGGGGGGAAGAGAGGTATTGGCTTTTACATGTAACTACTTTTCTTATAATCTGTTAATTACTATTGTATATCTGGGGTTTAAGGTTGTTTCAACTCTTGCTGATTCAATCTGGTGACATTTCCCTCTCATGGAAAGAAGCAGGATGTAAATTTTTAAAAATAAGCAATAAACAAAACCCATTTTGCAGCAACTGAAATTATTAAGATTTAGAGTTATTTGGAAATGTGTGCTTCTTGCAGTAGGATGAGATAATAAACAGAAAAGAGACATTAAAAGTCAAGAAACAGATAAGGTAAAGCAACTATAAATGCTATAATATGAAGAGAAGCACTGGAATTTATTGTTGTGAGCCGCCCCGAGGCTTCGGCGAATGGGGTGGCATAGAAGCTTTCTAAATAAATAAATAAATTATAATAATTGAAAATTCCTCCTCCTCAGTAATCATGAGGGCAAGATACCTGAAATATTTTTGTAATGCAAGCAACAAATCCAACAACTTGGAGGGAAACAGAGATTATAGGGAGTGCAGTCCCATCATAGTTTTCCTTGGCACTGATTGCTATTAAGCTGAAATGTCTGCCATAACCATTTTCAAAGGTAGACATATGCAACATTCAACACAGAGATGCAGGAACAAAACAGTGCCCCTTATCTATCCAGGAAGTACCACAGCCAATGACAGTTTTCAATACTATTCTACAAGTTTACAGTTACATGAAAATCTAGCCTTATTTAATTTCAATGGTACCTAATAGCCTCAGGAATTAGTTCCTCCTCAGCGCAGGTCAGCAAATAATAATTTTAAAAAGGTGGAGTCTTTTTATGTAGAGAGTGGTTAAAGTGTCTTCTGCTGAATCACAAGACAGTTTCAGACCTTGGCATTTAAACTCCCTGAGTTCATATTTGCAGCAAGAAACAAGTGAAAGAAAAAAGGACAGATGAGTCTGCATGACTCAGTGCTACTACCATCACATCATGGAGCATCAGTGATTAGGAAACAGTCATGAAAAGTCAGGACTCAAAGCTTCTGCTCCTTATTCTACCACTGACTCACAGGACAACCTTTGGAAAGACACATAATCTCTGACTCAAACGCCATCTTTTGAGAGGAGAGAGAAGAGATGCAGCTTGCAACAATAAATTAGTATTACGTAAAGCGGTTGTGGGTGAATATTCACTATGGAAACATAGTGTGTCATAGGATGTTAGAAACCCTTAGATAACAACCTCCTCCACCACCCCTTCTACTGTTGCAAGGAGCAGGCTCAGGGCTTAAAAATGCGCCTAGTGAAAAGCTCGGACAGAATAGTTTCATTCTGTAGGCCTGCTGGAACAAACAGGGTTGTTCTCAGGTAGAGGTCAGGAGAGGATCAGTTACATCAGCTTCTAGGCTGAAGTCATGAGCCAGTAGAAAATCTCTGGTCTTCCCTTGGTCCGTGCTCCATTCCAGCTATTTCATTCCTGCAGAGTGGAGGTGGGGGAATCTCCCTGAAACACTCCACATCACCAGTAGAGCTGTATGTATGACACAACAACCCACACAACAGCTGTGCTATATGGCAGGGGCACAAACAGTTGCCATTTTGAATAGGCAACCCACGCACAGACTGTGTTATAGCAGAACCTTGAAAACATGGGTTATGGTGAGGGTTAAATCACTCTGCATAACCTGTAGTCTCTTGTAAGATCACAGCAGGATGGTTTAACCCTCACATAATATACGCTTGCTGGGTTCACACAACGTGGCACACACCTCACGTGGGGGTTCTATATACAACTTGGCACCTGCAGGCACCACAGATGGTCATGGATTAAATAACCAGAGTGAACCACACCTGAACCCAGTCAGTCTGATCCTAGAAATAATTAAGGGTTCCTGTCACTATATCTTTTCTGTATTTTACAGGAAAATTATGCTTATTGAGATTATACATGCTTTTAACAGTCTAAAGTGCTAAACACACATTATTCTACTGCAATCAAAAACAGAAAAGCAACAATAGTATACTCTGTACAAACTATGTATCATAATTTCAAGACCATTCAAAGCATTTCATGTCAGAAGCCCTGGCAAAATCACTTACGATGTCCAGTATTATTGTCTACATATTACAAGAGGTAGGTTACAACTGAGATAGTAGTTTACCAAAAATTATGAATTTGTGGCTGCAGGCAGATTTCAAATGGATTTCTGTGTTAAAATTCCCATTCTTAGTATTTTAGATAGCTTTCACTAGAGGTTCTGAAAAAGCTACAAAGGCATTCCAATATTCTAATACATCCCAGCAAGAACATTTTCTACATACTTTAACACAAGCACAATAAAACATCCAGATTATTGCAACAAGCTGACTATCTAACAGAAATGTGGATTTAATCTTATAAGATGTAGTTTGCACATAATTCTGCCAATACATAGTGGTCCTGTGACATAGGTAAAGTTCTCTAGTTAAAAGGATTAATAGGAATTCTTTCAGTTTTACTTGTCTTCCTTTAAAGCAACAGTGCACAACTTTTTCTACCCAGACAGCTGTATCTGGTGTGGCCAGGAGTCACATATCTGCAAATTCTCATATATGTCTATGCACACACAAATTTCAGTGCACAGAGATGAGAAGATTTAAAATCCTCCTTCCAGCCTGTTGAAATCTAGTAGCAGCGATTCAGGAAGCAGGACTGCAAGGGATTAGGAAAGGCCTTTACCTCTCCCATTCCCCAGTGACTCCTGGTGAGAATACAGCAATAGAACAGCTTTTCCCCCTGCGGGCCAGCTAATCAGCTGAACTGCAAAGGACAGCATATGGGGTCCCACTAGATTTGCAGGCTACACTGGGAACAGCCAAGAACCACATGCAGGCTTTGGGTTGCACACTCCTGATTTAAAGAATGAGTCTTTCTTCCCACATTAGGTTCTTCACACTTCTCTGAGGACTCCCAAGGACAAGTAACGCAACAAGAAACCACCCAGACTTGTTAGTGTAACATGTACAGAAAATAGGATGCATGAAGTCATTTCTGAAAAACATTTTTGTTGCCACTTATGCAGGCTAGCTCATGTTTAGTCTGAAAATTAGACAAGAACCAACAACAGCAAGATGAGGCAAGCACAAATAAACGATGACCTGGAGCATCAGTCTTGGAGACAGTCCCCTAGCAAAGAGGGCATGCACCAGGGTAGTGTACCGGGTGTGTTTAGATGTCTGGAGCTCAGGTTCGAGTCTCCACACAGCTATGAAACGCACAAGGTGACCTTGAGAAGGTCATTATCTTTTGGTCTAATGTATCTCAGAGAAATTGTAGGAATTAAAAACTGTTCTGGGTTCAATGGAAAACAGCAAGGATACCCATCATGATAACTTCAGTCAGAGTGGAGAGACATGGAACGGAATTCTTTCATACTGTTAGACAAAGGAAGGTCTGAACTGCCACAGCACCTTCTAGGCAGTAGCTATTTCAGAAACAGGACAATGGATTCATTTTTATTGCACATCAAGTTTTTCCTTACTCTCAACTCACATTTCTTTCATTTTTATAGAGTTAAGTCATTCATCTTATCAAGTTAACATCACAAGACTGTAAAAACAAGTCACATTTCTAAAGGATCAGAAAGTAAAAGTGCAAGAATGGAAGAAGAACAACTTACCTTGAAGCATTTGGTTTTCCCAACTCTGCATGAACAGATAAGTTCACAGTTCAGCTTTAGAAAGAGACAATATGTTTCATGAGAATAACAATCAGCATGACAATTAGAGAATAAATGAGCACTGCTCAACAAAGTAGTTTGTACGCGTGGACACACACACACACAGCGCCACTCCCAATATTCATAGGAGCTGTTGATTGAATAATTCACAAGGAAGGGTGGAGTATGAAGGAAGTGTATGACCTAGTCTAGAAACACTGAATCATTCCTCTGACCATAAATCAGGTTATTATTCTCATTTCTCACTATTGACACAACATTGAACATCTCAACAACCCTCTGTCCATCCCTCAATTACTGATAATATAGTAAAATTGAACATATGCTATCTAGTTTGTTCCATAAATACATCTCCTGCTTAAGAAGTGTGGTTGTATCTGGTTTTCCATCTGACCTACTCCCAGCCTTCTTCCCAGTCATATTAATGGAACCACAATGTGAAGTCCACCATATCACAAAGCAGAGGAATGGGGAAATGGCAAAAGGTCAGTAGGTACAGATTAGACCTGCTCTGCATATTAAACCTTTAGAAGCTTCCTTTTTTGGGATTAAAACAACTATTCCATTACTAATGAAATGCTGCAGTTTTTACTAATGAAGAACTTAAATGTTGAGAAAACCTAACAGCCAAGCTAATACTAAATCATTTTGCACCTCAAGCAATTGATGTTTCCCTGTTCTTCCCTACATGAAGCTACACTGAACCCTGATAATATGCTGCCACATATTTTAACAACATTCCGTATATAAGAATTGGTCATCTTCTTTGGGCAATACCAAATTATCTTTAAAAAATATGTTAACACTGCAAAGTCTTCTTTGCTCTCTTTTGATTGAACATCTCTGTAGGGAATGGGCCCACTACTCCCAAAATACAGCATTCCAAGATCTCAGACTGAAGTTAAAGAGAAGCAGTCAGAACATGTAGCTGAAATGCCAAGCTGGCAAGTACTGAGATTAGCCAAAGAGCTGGTAAGAATGTGACCACCACTGATTTGGCAGGGGGAAGGATGCACTGTAGAACAGGGAAGGTCAAATGGTGAAGGCCGTGCATTTATCAGCCCAGTGGTTTGTCATCAAAACAAACAAGCAGCCAATAAATTAATGTTTGGTGTTCTTACTGACCCACAAGAGGCATGAACCTCCCTTAGGGTGGAGTCAGCCTAGTTTGGAGGAGAATTCGGTTTGGAAACAACTTTTGACATGATCAAGAACTTGCTCCATAAGTTAGAGAGATCTTTAACCTGACAGATGCTTCTTGATAACAACTTTCTTACTCACCCTGTATTGCAAAGCCAGCCTTGACTGGTCATCCTAATTCAATAAAGTAATGTAGTTAGAAACCCTTCATCTTGATCTGCTGGGAAGGGAAAAGGGAAAAGATGTGCTCATGACATTTTCTATTTCTCCCTGCACAGTTACCTTCCATACTGATGCATAAACTCACCTCAACGAGCATGCACATTAAAGGAGGACAATTTGTGTCTTGACCAAACAACAAACATACATACCAGATAAAATCTGCATGTGTTTGGAGGATGGTTGTAAAGGGATGTCCCACTATTTGATGGATTTCTAAACTTGTCTGCCATACAGAAAGCCACATTCTGTTATAATTTGAAAAAGAAGCCCCAAGGAAATGCCCCAATGTGATTATGCAAAAAACAGTTTTCATGAGAGACTATGCTAGAAATGCCACTATTATACAAGGTGTTTTAAAATATGGTGGGGAATACTATATTATCTGGGACAGAAAACCCAGTGCCCTTGGGATCTTCTGGACTACAACTCCCATAATCCCTGATCATTAATCATACAGGCTGGGGCAGATAAAAGTTCTAGTCCAAGAAGGCTAGAGACCATCGGAGTGCTGCCACCGCCGCCACCTCCTATATATGCTACAGTGGGGGATACTGTTTATGCAACAATGAGAAGAAAAATACCTGAGTAGCAGTTGACGGACTGTATGGAAACCAGTAAATATTCAGGATGGATAGCAACCAAGAAAGAGTTAACTAGCACCGGTTTACATATAGGATGTCACTTGAGTTAACAATTCAAACAACTTCACATAATCACTTTATAACTCTTACAATCTTGTAATACAATTTTCAATATAATCCCCACATAATGAAGTTTGTGAGTAAGGTTTTTTTGTTTTGTTGTTGTTGTTGTTGTTGTTTTGCTTAAAAGTCTTGAGACCTCGATAAAGGACAGGGTAGAAATGCTTTTAATAAATAAATAAATAAATGAACATTAGACACATTTTTTAAAAAGCCAACAGGAGGTACAGGGTCCTCTGACCATGATTAGGTCAAAAGCATACAGAGGGGAAGTGAAAATAAAAGCTCATGCAAAGAGCAAATGGGTGATTTTCAACAGAAAAATACCATGGAGCTAAACACAGTACAACACTCTAATCCTGCAACAGGGCTGCAGTCCACTGGGGCGGTAGGAGTGGGGAGAATCCTAAGAACAGAACTCAAAGACCTAGTTAATGTCAGTTCTAGTTTAACTTGAAGGTCCCCTCACAAGTTTATATGACAGACAAGATCAGAGTCATGGTGTTCCTTTTTCACAGTCCAGTCTCTTAGCCACTATGCTTTCCAAATTCTCACTGTGCTGTCAGCTGCAACATCCACAATTAGGTTTGTGACAGGTAGACATTATCAATCCAACACTGAACAGACTCAATTATGGTTATAATGCCAGCAGCCTGCACATACAAGTATTCTTCCCATTGTTTTGAGGGCACACCTATGACAGCTAACAGGCAACTTGGGTTAGCTTGCCTTGCCCACACTTGTCACATCAACTTTTCTAACCAGCAACTGAATCTCAAAACTATTGTAACTCAAGTATGGTTAAGACTTCAGTACAACCAACTTAGAACAGAAGTATAACTATGTCTGACAAGGCACTAAGAAACAAGGAAGCACACAAATCCATCGATTCAGGGAACAGACTGAATCTGGCTCCTTGCAAATCTGAGCTTTTGACTTTTAAAGAAACAGCAAGTTTCTAGTCCTCATTATACAGAAAGTATTTGAGATATGTCCATTTGAAAAACAGGGGGGCATAAGTTTTGGCTTTGCTACTAGTCACTTATTATTGTGATCACTATGGGCCCAAGCAAACAAATCCTAAGTTCTCTGTGATCTTTTACAGCATTGCTTCCATAAAACAAGCAAAATAGAAGAGACCAGCTCTTCCCCTTTCCCAAGTTACCTATATTCACAAGAGAATTGAGAAAGGCAATTATCAAGACAGTTTGTTCCACTGACAATCTGTAAAGTGAATTTATGAAGTCCTGCTCTGAGCAAGTCAGTATGATGCAAGATTTGGTCAAGAGGTTTGTACAGTGGCTGTACAACTATTTAATAACTATTTGTTTTCTACTTCTGCACAAGTCTTTTTCACATTTTATTGCTTCATCTGCTGCCATCCTTGCCAAGAAAAGTCCAGTTTATTTTGAGCCTTGGATATTGAGTAGATTATACGAAGTGCATATTATATTTAATTTGCATAATTTATTCTGGGCCCAGAACTCAGACTGCAGAGTAAGCACATTGCCTTATTATTACTCAGACAAATAGTTTGCTGCTTATGTACCCCAAGTCACGGAAATAAAGATTGCTTAAACCAAGTGGCTGTTTAAAATCCAGAGTAACAAGTGGCTTAGAGTTGCACCTATTTCTACACATCAATATTTGAGGATTCCAGTCCTATATGATTACAAAGAATCATCTGGGAAGTGAACATGCTGAATCATGTCACAGATTACTGTGATCTGGTCTCACCTCTGACAGAGGCAAATAGACTGTATTGTACATTCATGCATTCTAATTACAGAGATAGCATCACCTTGGTGCTCTCCCTGGCTCTGGGGAGCTGCCCATAGACATTTACACAGAGGATGCTGTTTCCCACTTGTCTCCTTCATGTAGAGCACAATCCCAGAGTGTTACTCAGTCCCCAGAATCAGATCTTATGCTCATTCTATGCAAAGTAAGTGGCAAATGTGTGCCAAAATAAGTGCCTCATCCCCTCGTCTTCCCACTCTGCACTTCTGCTAGAAAAGCCTTTTTTGCCCATCTAACTGCAGTGATTCAGAAAGGGAGGGAAAGAGGCCTCAGAATAGCTTGGGCCTTGCCGGTCTTCTCCCCACTGTGTCCATCTGCATATCCATGGCTACTCTCTTTGCAAACTTTTTCCTGGTTCTGGACAGCAAGTGACAAGGTTCTTTTCATACCAGCTGTGAGAAGAGGGCACCAGAATTCCTATTGCCAGCTCTGAGGTCACAGCATCATCTGCAACTTCAGATCTGTGAGGATGAATTCACAGAATCACATCCTTAAAGCATCTCAAGACAAAATCCTATACATTTATATTCAGATAAAAGACTACAACTTTTAGCATGCCCCTGACAGCATGGCTCATTGGGGCATGCTGGAAGCTGTAAGACTTCATCCCAATCAACATGTTTTGTGCTCTTAGTCATCAGAGCTTTGTTTGTTTGCTTTTAACCTGTGGGAATTGTCCCATTTGGGGAAAATCAGACATGCTAGTACCTAGCTTAAAACAATCAAGCTGACACAGTAGAACAAAGGAGATACATAAAGATTATGAGGGAAACTGGAGCACATTACAAGCAGCACAGTCCCCATGGCAACACTCTTTATGGCGAGTTCTTCCGGTTTTACAAAAACGCATGGACTTTGAAATCATTTAAGACCAGGCAAATTACCTTGGCAAAGGTCCCAGGCCTACCTTTTATAATGACATCATTGTACCTCAACTAAGAATGGAGGAAGATAGCATTGTGATCAGGGACTACTGCTGAAAATGGCAATCCATTGGGAGTTCACCTAAGATAACAGATCAGGTCGTATGACCACATTGTTTGGTCACATATTCCAACACCACTGAAAGCAAATATGAAACAGAATTAAGGAAAGCTGTGACATGGCATGGCATCACATTCTGTAACAAGTCACCCAGCAACCTTCTCTAATCTGGTGCCCTCCAGAAATTTGGACTCCCAACTTCCATCATCCCCAACATGCCTGCTGTCAAGAGGAGCCTAGCAGAGGCAAGGGCAGCCATTCTGGCTTACGTTTCCATCCATATGTGGTAGGGATGGAAAACATTTGCTTGTGGCCTCAGATTTCCTTCTTCTGTCATTAGGAAGTTACTAAGCACACACAGGCGTTTGGTCTAGGTACAGGCTGATTTTTACTTCAATTTTTACCAAAAAGTTTCACACTATTTTGCCAAAGAAGCTAACAGTCTTCCAATTTCAAATGGAATCAGAAGAGGTCAATTAACACTTCTTTTTATACATCCTTCCCCTTCCTACCCTTAGTTTACCTACTATAGCAGCAACTAATTTATGTACAGAAGAAAATTAAATGGAAGAAAAAGTGGACATATTTTACTCTGCTGAAATATAGAGCTGTGTATGAGGTCATAATTCTGCAAGAGCCCACAAAATCCACAGAATACAGGATTGAGTGCAGTATTCAATTTCATGATGATCTAGCATATCATTTATTTATTTAAGTAAGAAAAATGTCCAACCCTTTTGGACCCTTCCTTGAAAAATGTATGAACAAAGTCTGTTGATATTTAAGAAAATAAAATTTCCTAACAAAAGGTTATACCTAGGGCTGGTCATTTACCAGAGGAATAGAAACTGCTTGCAAGATGGTTTTCTGTGCCTACCCCCACCTGTTCCAAAAGACTGAAGGACCCTCCAGAACAGTTGTCATGAGCATGCAGGGGAAGGAGTTCATGTGAATGTCTAATTGCACAACACTGGATTTAAATTAAAGGCTTCAACCCTAAACAGACTCACATGGGGGAAAATCCTATTGAACACAATGGGGCTTACTTCCAAGTAAACATGAACAAGATTGTACTTCATGATTTCCAAGGGTTGAATGCAAGGCTGTAGTGCCTTGCATAGCTGCTGACCCATCTGGTTTGTTTAAAAACTAAATGTGCACATTTGTCTA